GAGGTGTATATTTGTGCAGTAGTTTCAGGCTGCCGCGCCCGCCGCAATAAGTTACAATGTAACGTTATAAGCCTAATTTTGGCGCCCCTTTACCTTGGCGCCCGGGGACATATGTACCCCCCTGCCCCCCCCCTAGCTACGCCTCTGTGCATTAGCCCATCAGATGCAGACGCCAATAGTTTTCCGGTGCAAGAAACAAGTTGAATGATCAAGCTCTCGTGGCAAAATCGAGCTTTTAATAATAAAAATAACACTGCTATTTTTCGATTTAAAGCTTTCGTGACTGCAGGGATTCATCTTCTTGGTTCTTTCGGTAAAGTCACGTAGAAGGGAAGTAATAAAATAATAAAAATAAAACATAATAAAACAATTCTCACGACGTTTCGGCCACAACGCAAGCAGCCGTCCTCAGGCGAAGAATGAAGCACCACCAAGTTTGGAGCGTATATTTAAGCTGGGTTAGAGGGGGGGAGGTGGGAAGAAGAGCGCCTAAACAAAATAATTTGCATATCAATAGACGCGTGTGATGTAAGAGAATAAAGTTTAGATGGAAGCATAGTATATAATTTTTTACAACGTAGAAAAGTTTTTATGTATTACTTACTGTTAGTAACTCAACTTATTGTAGAGTATAGTAAGTATACTGATGATGCTATGTAGTTTATACTTTAGTTTTTTACGTGGTTGTTTAGTAACTGCAGCTACATACTATTAACATTCCTTTCCTTTGTTAATGCTACCCCCTCCCCCCCCCCCCCCTTTGATGCTGCTAATCCTGCATAATGCACGGGCATAGTATTGATTTGGAACCCCCCCCGCCCACCTCCTACGCATTTTCCATATGCTGAATTCCTCTTGATATGCAAATTATTTTGTTTAGGCGCTCTTCTTCCCACCTCCCCCCCTCTAACCCAGCTTAAATATACGCTCCAAGCTTGGTGGTGCTTCATTCTTCGCCTGAGGACGGCTGCTTGCGTTGTGGCCGAAACGTCGTGAGAATTGTTTTATTATGTTTTATTTTTATTATTTTATTACTTCCCTTCTACGTGACTTTACCGAAAGAACCAAGAAGATGAAACACTGCTATTTATTCTCCTGAGGAAAGCCTTACCGAGTCTCAAGACTTGTATTCAGGAGGGTGGTGTTGCTGCTGCCTCTTGCATTGGGATGCTTGGTCAAGTCGATTAATGAACTTTAGTGAGGTATACGGGGGTAAAGTGGAACCCTGTGGAGAAAACCGACCAAGGGTACGAGTTGGCGACAGCACTCAAAGCACCTTCATAAATAGGTTCAAGAATCCAATGCTGTCCAGCCTTTTCCTGACAACCTCTCAGCCCAAGCCGACAACACCTGCTATACCCTGGTGATCTATCCCAAGTACTAACCAAGCTTAATGTCTGCATAGCTTCCAAGCTCCGACACATTTGGACACATTCAAGGTGATTGGGGTCAGAGGCCATTCACACGGGAGGTAGCACAATCAGTGGAATGCCACGGCGTTTGATGCATAGTTACGACTTTTGACACGTGACTAAGCTAAATCCGTTGGCCCCCTGCGATAAAAGAGGTTTCTGCAGTATTATAAAAGTGAATTTTACAGGCTCAGCTCTACCGTATGCATTTACGGCTGTGCGACCTTTGACCTTGTCTGATAAGAGGTCTCGGTGATGAACAATTCTCACTGTTCATTTGCCATTTGTGTTTCTTAGAATTTGTAGAGTTTGGTTTTGTAATTGCGCTGTACGCAGCCTGATGGTTACCAAGATACCACCGTGGGAGTTGAGCAGAGTAAACACAACCCTCCGGGGACCTTACTTGGACATGCCTGAGGCTAAAGACATCTTTAAGGAAGGAAATTATTTCCATAAACAGTTTCCTTAATTCTTATGGGAGCAACACATTTTGTTTGACCCATTTCCAAACGGTGAATTTCCCCTTGGCTAAATTTGGATCATCAAACTAGTTGCAGTCACGAAAGCTTTGAATCTAGTTTAAGGCCTTTTTTGTTGCCATTTCAGTTGGAAGTCTCACCTAAGGCTTGGACCTGGTGTTGCTCACCTCTGACCTTTACCACTGTCAGGAATCAAACTCAGGTCAATCGGAATTCATTTGTAGGAAACGATAATATTAATAGCTGCTGTGGTGGTTTATTGGTTAGCACACTGTACTTTCAATCCAATCATCACAGGTTCGAGTCCCTCTCACGGCGTAAGTTTCTTAAATCCATCCGCCCGCCTCTATCCAACCCAGCAGTATAATCGGGTACACCACAGTTAGTCGATGGGCAGGTTGCATACGGTGGGGTAAAATGTGGGTAATCCCATCGCTTTCAATACATCTGGTCAGCGTGGAAGAGTAGGCCAAGTACCATTTAGAGCTCCCTCTAAGTCAAGGCCCTGCCATCTGCAGCAACGTAGGCAAGCAATTGCAGAGTAGCACCAGAGAACCAATGTCATACGTTACCATTCAGTTTTTCTAACAACCAAGGAGTATCCAAGGAGGCTACTCATTGATTCGTGACGGCGGTGTATTCATTTTCATTCGCACCTTTGCACAAATTAGCCTTGGGTCGTGGTGACACAGCAGCAAATGATGAGCAACAACCACCTTTTGTCCATTTTGTTAATTGAACAGTGACAAGGCTGCAGGGCTGTCTGGCTTAGGGAAGATTTGTGGAGGATTTGGGAAGATCTTTTTGTTTCGAGTGTTTCTTTGTTATGATTTGTTTCTCATACACCGTGATGTGGCTACGGTATCCACACACGCATGCACGTTTATTCTGGATACTCGTCACACACACACACACACATTTAGTCTCCCTTGGAGACTGGTTACCTGCACTACTGAACAAACAGGTGTTCTGGTGCTGGGGATGTGTTGTGATACTCTGTCTATTATGGGAGTGAAACCCTACATTAAGTAGGGAAGCGATTTTAAGGTCATAAATCGTGTTTAATTGGGCCCAATTGCTCATTAACTGGCAACTTTGTTTTGCATGTACCATTTCTTTTACAAAAAATTAACCCGTAAAAACTAAGTTTTTCACTATAAATCCTTTATATGCGTGGCATCGGGGCGGCTAGAGTCCTCTCGTCCTCTGGCTTGAGATGGCTGCCACCTATGGGTCAGATGATTGTCTGGCAGCATTAAGCAATTGGGAATTAAATATTTATTTATTTTTCCCTAAACCGTGTAAAATTTTGTAAACATTTTTTCACGAAAATGCATTGTCACGCACAACGAGTCTGTGTGCAAAATGTCAGCTCGATTGGATCACGGGAAGTGGGTTAAAAAACGACCGAAAGATTTGCACGGTCCTAAGCAAGCAAGCGAACTTAATATAAAGGATTTAAAAATAATAATAATTCTGCATTGCATCTGAAGTTGTGCTTTCGAGTCGGCAGTCTCTAGCGTTAACCATTTCGGTGACAGAATATTGCAAGGATTTTCTGATTTCTGCATCCATCCATCCATCGCTGGTTCTCTTTCAGAAGGAGAGATGAGGCACAAATAAATAAGAAACAAAATTATCTAGAATATTGTTCTGCGGCTGGTTGAGTTTCCTGAACATTGACTTAGAAGTAGATGCAACATCGTCTATAACTGTTAGCACCACCCTGGTGTATGCTCGTAACTAAATAGCAGATCTCGCCCACTTTCAGTTGGCTTCAATGTCACACTCCACGGAAATTCACTAGTGATGGGGCTCATATATTTGTAAGTGTTTAGCGTAAGATTCGAAGAAAATAAAAACTTCAGACTGACCACTGTCCCATGAGTGAAACCAATCGATGTCCAGGCTGCAATTTATTCGCCACATTTCAGCTTTTCTCGCCCTTCAAGAACACGATTACAATTTACATCACTCGCTCGGTTACAGTCGATTGTGCAGCTCCAATGTGCGCCGTGACCAAGCTAAGCAGGTTTGAGCCTTCAATCGTGACCGCCCTGCGTTAATTAGGTGTCATAGATTGCGGGACAATGTTGTGGGCAGCAGAGGGCAGTTGCAGTTCAGTCAATATCTGCACTGTACTTTTATGCCCCCTTTCCTTGCCTCTCCCCACCTATCACCAACCCACCCTTACCGGCATGGTGAAGTATGCTAAAATAGCTTCCCATGGCCCCGCATGGCGTGTGAATCTACAAAAGGGCTGTGCAGGTGAATGCCCAGAGTTCTTTGGTATTGATGCTGTGAGAGTTGCAAGATGTAGCGGGATGCAAGGTTTGAGTCCAGGCACTAGCTAGGAGAGCCATCACATCCGCAGGACTGATTGATCCACCAGTCCATTGACCATAGCTGATGATGGTGATGACAACAAATAATAACGAGATAGATTCCAGTGCTCGGTTAATGAAGGCGGGAAACCCCCGTACAAGCCTCGACCTGCTCGATGTGGCTGAGAATGTCCATGACATCACCAAGCCCGGCCCATCACTTCCCGTCCAGCGTCACACGTGGGAACATAGGTTTAACCATTTTTTATTATAACAATGTCGATGCTATCCGACGAGTCAAGTATTTGAATAATCAGCAGAGTAATGGACGAGTTAAAACACGTGCTCTCAGAAGGCAATGCGACTGATGGGTTGTTAGAAAAAATGTTTTCATGTGGATGAATATGAGATGGATATGTGAAGGAGATGTTACCGACTGTTTGTTTATTTAGTTTCAACTATTTTATTAATATAATGTTTTTTACCAGGCAAGGCTCACTGAGCTGTATAGCTCTTTTTTAGAAGTTACTGGACCAGAATTGATAGCTCAATGAAGTGGCTTATCACGTGGACATTTATAAAAGCCAAATACTATAAATACGCATTCATTATAAATGTGGAGGGAAAAACCGTAGGACCTAAAGAAAAAGCCAGGCATCCACTTCAGGGAGAACATGCAGGCGTCAAGAGTCGGGATCAAACCCACGATCTTCTATACCAGACGAGGTAGTTAACATCTCACCACCGTACTCCGTGCGTGTCTCCCTGCTCGCTCACGAACGCAGGAGCAGCTCTCCCAGGTGCTGGACGCGATGTTTGAGCGCCAGGTGGACAACGGCGAGCACGTCATCGACCAGGGTGACGACGGCGACAACTTCTACGTCATCGAGAGGTGGGGGGTGGTGCCGTCGCCAAAATTCCCCCCCTAATTGGGGTCAGGATTGAGAGAGGTGGGGCACAATGGGGGGCGGGGCTGTTTGGAGAGGCAAAGTGGCCCATTGGTGGTGGGTACCTTTGCCACTTGTTGCAAATCCAGCGACTGCCCTGATTGTCACTGTGTGTGCAATGACCACAAATAATGCGATGCGCCGTCCGCTTAACTCATTCTGGACTTTAAAGACCCCTAATGTCATTCGCAAGAGTAAACTAAAACTATCCTAAACTATTTAAATATTACCAGGTAGGACCCACTGAGCTATGTAGCTCTTTTTCAGAAGCGACCTGGTCACAAATGATAACTCAACGAAGTGGCATATCAGCATGTGGAAATTTTAATGCAGCCATATACTCTAAACGCATGTTGATTGTAAATGTGGAGGGAAAAATCGTAGGACCTGGATAAAAATCCACGTGACCACGAGGAGAACATGCAAACTCCAACAATGCAGGCATCAGGGTTGGTATCGAACTCACGATGTTCTGTATACCAGGCGAGGTAGTTAACATCTCGCCATGCCCACCCTACTGGTAGACTGATGCCCGAGGTCACTCTTGCAAATGACTCATCCTGCCTGGTCTCTTCAGCTCTCACCTGGTTACACAAAAATAAACCAGCCTGCCTGCGTCTGCTAAGTGTGCAACGTGGAGTAGATTTGTAAAAACCATTTGGCGATGATGATGTTTTATGGCAATTGGTGATCATCATTGACTTTCATACTCGGGTCATTCCATCAGACCTCAACCAGAGCTTCCCACCTCAAGATTTATATTTTGCTTACATTGTGTGTGGTGTGTGGGGGGGTGGATATAGCGCAGCAATGAAACCAGGCCAAATATTTACGCTCCGTTCTTTCTTCTTGCATATGGCTTGGTGAAGAGCAACATAAAGAAGGTGTAGTTAGTGTTATTATTTTTCAAGATCGATATCCACGTGTGAAAGCCACGCGATAGCTTCGGGAGAGGCTCGATGAATTGAATGAACTTAATTAATTGCTGCCCTGCTGCCGCTGCCTCTGTTGAGACATGTAGGCATGGTCCTACGCTGCAGTTGCCATCTCATTTCTTTTTTTAAACGTGTTTTTTCGGTTTTCATTATTATTTTCTTTATTTTATTCCACGCACCATCCCTTGAAATGTGCTACTGTTACCGCTTTCCTGTGCAGGCCGCCCTTTGGAAAATAGCCGTATAGCTCAATGGGCCTTAGCTGTCTCAAAAGAGTCTGAGTTTGCTGTTGTAAGTCAGAATCAGAGTCTGTATTTATCCTGGAGGAATCTGATGAGCTATAAAGCTCTTTTTCACAGATGTCCAGCAAAGGGGGATCAGAAAGTTCCAGCAACAAACAATACAAAAACACGATCGGCCATTTTGTGCCGACGTCATGGTCCAAATAAAAAGACAGTGACACGCAAGTGACGATTCAATTGGAATCTGCAATGCAATCCATCGCCCACCCAACCCCCCACTGCGAAAACTAGTCAGGCCCCTCCTTAAAGCAAGTCACAACACTTGGTGATTCTTTCCTGGGTAAACGCCCCTATTAATAATAACGAACAATCATCAATCGAGTTCTATTTGACAGAATGACCGCTGCCACGGCGTGGCGTGGACTGATATAAGACACAAGCAAAATGTTAATTGTCCAAAAGCAATCTGACTGCGTGCGCCGTATTATTACGCGTACGTATTGTAATGTGGCACTGTCTGCCATCGAGCTCCCCGTGGGTACACCATACAGTTAATCTCACTTCCTGGCCAGAGGGTCATGACGGCCGGGGCAGCAGAGATTGGAACCGGCAGTTATGCAATAGGGCCAGTGATGCGTGCTGAAGGCAAAGGCGCGGCCCTGCACTTGCTTGCTCGTGCCACTGCTGGTGGATGGTGGCCTCCACTGGAGGAAACTGTAGAGGGGTCCCCTACAAGAGGGTGTTTGGGCTACTCTTCCACCCTGGCCAGACGTCTTGGAAGGGGTTGGGCAGTGTACCTGCACTCTTAACCTCACAGCGCACGAGCCTGCCGATCGGTTCCCATGGTGCACAAGCACTGCTGGGTGATCGGAAGTGCGGTGAAATTTGTGACCCCTCAGACGTTGTTTCAACTTCCTGCGCCAGGGCGACCTCCGCGAGCCTAGCGTGCTGCCATCCACGACTCAGGAACCCGATGAGCTGTAAAGCTCTTTTTCACAGATGTCCAGTCGGGGCAAGGTAGAAAGTTATAACGGCAAACAATACATAAACACAATAGGAGTGCAAAGTATAGGAAAGTTAAGCAAATCACAAAAAAAGCTCAACTATGTTTTTTATTTCAGCAGCTAAAGCTATGGGCTCTATTTTTCAGAAGCGTCCTGGCCGCAAATGATAGCTAGTTCAACTAAGTGGCTTGTCATGGTGTTCGTTACCAAACTTCCCCATGCTCGTTCCAGATTGTTCCCCTAATTCGAGGTGTTAGGAAACCTTTTTTTTGTCGCAATGGTAGAATAGGACTTTCAAAGAGCTTTGGCGGGCGGCCATATGTTAACGCTGTCACCTCGGTAATTTCCGTCACACCAGGGGGGGTAGGCCTGCAGTGGCGGTGGTGACCGAACGTGCATAGATTATAAACTCTACATTGTTTTCCAGGTCGACAAACATTCCACTCTAGTATCTGATTAGAACGAACAAGATGCTCGCAGTGAAGGTACATAAGTATCAAATTATATATATCGACACTTTTAACATGAAATGCCAAGACAATTTAATCATCGCTTGTGGGCCATATGGAATGAAGGCCGCGTTAAAGTGAATTCCACGGGCTGTACCTACGAAATTAGGTCGTGGGTCATATCCGGCCGGTGGTCTGTGGGCTCCCCATCCCTGATTTAATCGAATTGCGGCTCTGCCGGCTTAAACTTCACAGTGCTTGGCTTAGGACCCAAGCATGGTCAGGTTTTTGCAAATCCTGGCGGAGAGGTCCAATTTAACTTGACAACATGATCTTATGCAAGCACAGATTCTTATCAGCCTCTCTGTAGACGCCCCATTCACAAGCATCTATGCGGGCCTTTGTGATCACAATTAGGGGCATTGAGGCGTTATAAAAGGAGGAAAATGTGTTCTGGCAGTTACATTTCAAGCAGGCGAACGTGTAAGTGCAAGTCCTGCCTTACCATTGTCATCGTCACCATCACGGTGAGACGTGGCCTATCCACTTTCTGGATAAAGGCCTCACCATGCCGTTGCCATCCCTCCCAGCTCCAGAGTTTCCGCAATGAATCTCACTCCAGCATGTGAGCCGATTGCGTTGCTCCATCTCTCCCCGGTGGTTGTCTTCCCGGGTGCGGTTCCCGTTCTGGTTCTTTACCGCCAGCTTATTGCCGCACGCCCATCCCTCCTATCGACACGTCCTGTCTCAAGCCCGTTCACTTTTCTGAACGATCTGTTTATGCGCTTCTGTAATTCCGAGCGCTTCTCTCTCCGCCCTTGTTTTTGCACGCTGTCACTCTCAGCCAAAAATAAATTGTTACCGCTTCATATCGGAACCCGCGTCGCATGCGTCATCTAGCTGACTCGCTAATTAGAGCCGGAAACGTTCCACGTTACGACACCGCCGTTTTGTATTGCCTAAAATGCAGTTATCGCTTCACGCTGGAATGCAATGAGGGTGGAGGAGGGGGAAAAAATATCAACAACAAATTACCCTTCCAAACAGTTTTCCCACTACTGCAACGGAAAATGCTCAGTGCTCGCTCGGTGCAAATCCCAGCTGACCCTTAGGCAATTCCGGCGAACGGCGCTGGCAAAACTTTTTGACCATAATCGTGGCGCGATGCGGCAATCCGTCCCCACTGCTTTGCCGTGTGCTTCTCCCTGTGCTTCTCCCTGTTTGCTTTGCGCTGTGGGTACCCATAAGAGAAAGAGCGTTAATCCTTCGCCAACCGCTCTTGGTTTATTGACATGCGTGCAGTTGAAAGGGCCCCTTCAGGTTATATTTGGTGCAGGTGTAACGGGTTCCGGAGACACTTGTAGAGGTAACTTCTTTATTACAATGCAACACTCCAACAGTCCAACTCTCCAACAGTCCTGATACTCTGTTACAGCCTAGGTACACAGCCTAGCTACACAGCCTAGATACTCTACTCTGGCTACGCTCCGGAACTCGCCTTTACAAAGTCGTAGAGTCGGGAGTTCCAGAGTCCCACCACTGGCTCTCACAGCATCCCAGGGTCTTCAGATGGCTGGTCGTGGGTCTTGGGTCTTGAGTTACAACTGGCCCTGATCGTCCAGGAAGCTCCGCTTATATGCCCAGTCCCCAACGAGGGGTGGGGCCGTGTGCGCCCCCAGATATCCCACAGAGCACACACAGCCCCCCCCTTTGGCGGTGCCAAGGGGATTAAGCGCCTGGGAACTCAACGCCTGACGGCAAGAGGCTTAAGCGTCTGACCCGCCTGAGAACCCACGCCTGGCGCCAAGGGGATTAAGCGCCTGGCCCTCCCAGGGACCCAGAGCCCCCAGCAGCCCCTCCCTTCTTATGTCACTACATTACCCCCCTCTATGTAGCCTCCAGCTGTACCGGCTGTCAATAATTAGAAAGTTTAAATTAACGAAAGGGAGAGAGAGAAAAAAAAAATACGCGAGCCTCAACAGGAAAAGAAAAGAGAACAAGAAAGCAACCATAAATACCATAACCAACCTGTACAACTCTACACTATATACAAGCATCAATCAACAAAAAGGTGAAGCAATGACACGTGAACAAACAACCCGCGGCACACCTAGCCCTCCTCGGGATCCGCATAGAAAACGGGGAATTAACAACAACAAATATACAGATTCCGACGCGTTGGATGCACAACCACCGCATGGATGGCAGGGTTCCACACCACCCTGCCAGCCTCCCCATCCGTCAGGTGGAGAGAAGGCGAAGACCAACATGTCGAGCATCCCTCTACACACACTTATCCGGACGTCTGTCTACGT